CCTTTCCTTTCAAGAGAGAGAAAAATCTTGGAAATAGAACCAAATCCTTTATCGATACTCAAGTTTCACAAAACAAACTGCAAAGCTGTCGTGGGCCTGTTTTTCCAAATTTTCTTATTCACGAATTTGAGTGATTTTTACTTTATTTAGTTTTAAATGAATTGGATCCAGTAATTATACTAGAAATATTAAGAGAAAAAAGGTTGCATCTAAAGTAACTTAAAAGTTATATTTGACAAAATTTTACTTATTTTGCTTGAGATTAAATTAATGTTTCTTGAAACTCTCCTTTCCCTTATTATATTCCTTACCACCCAACTTTTGGTCACCAAACGTGCCATTTTCCCTTTTATACGGTTGAAACTGAAGAAACACAATTGTCCAACTAATTTAGGACACGTTTGGCATGATTTTTGATAAGTTAAAATGAGCTTTTGAGACTCATGATTTCTTTTGGACCCGTTTGATCATAAGACCTAAAAGCTGTTTTTGAACTCGTTTGACTAATTTTTTTAAAGGTGCTTTTGAGAGTTAAAAGAGTTTTTTTAAAAAAAGTTGATCGAATGTGATTTCTTCTAAAACCATTTCCGAAATATATGAATTTTTTTAAAAAAAATTAACTTTCAAACAAATATTAAGACAATTTGCTTCAAAATCTCTTTTAAAGAAAGTAAAAATAAAAATAAGTCATTTCAAACGAATTCTAATGTTATTAAAGTGTTTCTTATAATTAGAAGAACGTTTAGAATAATGAAATAAAAAGTACTTCTAAAAATTAATTTTTAAATAAAAGTAAGTAATTTTATCCAAAAATTCTTTTATAAAAAATGAAAGGCATATCAAACGAGACTTTTTGAACTCGTGTTTCAAAGATTCATCCACTTATGGTCCAGCTTTTTGACAGTGTCATTTTGATACTCTCTCCTTCAAAAACTTTCAAGTTTTTGTGGGTCCCCCATCCCATGTGCTCTCTCTCTCTCTAGCAGTTGCAATTGCATCGATCCGCCCCACCCCCCCACTCTCTTCTCCAACACACTCTCTCTCTCTCGCTCTTCAGAATCCAATGCTATTGCACTCAAAAAAGCCTCTGCAAATTCTGTACAAACAAGAACCTAAAAAGCTTGTTTAGATGAAGCCTCCCATTTTTGGCTTAAAGCTTCAAGCTTTTTCACTATTTCTTAGTGTTTTGTGTTCAGCAATTCTGTTTGTTGAGTCTCAAACAAGCCCAGATGATGCTTCAGCCATGTTGGCTCTCAAGAAGAGCCTCATTTTACCAGAAAGTATCGGATGGTCAGACTCGGATCCGTGCAATTGGAACCATGTGGTTTGCGCGGAGAAACGTGTTACCCGGATCCAAATCGGGCGCCAGAATGTTCAAGGTACACTCCCTCAAGAACTATCGTCTCTCACACAGCTTGAGCGATTAGAGCTTCAATGGAACAATATTTCTGGACCTTTACCAAGCTTGAAGGGGTTTAATTCACTGCAAGTGTTGATGCTTAGTAACAATCAGTTTAGTTCCATTCCTGCTGATCTTTTTACTGGCATGTCTTCTTTGACATCTGTTGAGATTGATAATAATCCATTTTCTGCTTGGGAAATCCCGGAAAGCCTTAAAAATGCTTCTACACTTCAGAATTTTTCGGCTAATTCCGCAAATATTACTGGAAAAATTCCTGCATTTTTAGGAGCTGACGAGTTTCCTGGTTTAACAAACTTGCATTTGGCTCTCAATAACTTGGAAGGGGAGTTGCCATCAAGTTTTTCGGGTTCCCAGATCGAGTCTCTGTGGTTAAATGGGCAGAAACTTGGTGGAGAGATTGGTGTTATACAAAATATGACATATTTGAAGGAGGTTTGGCTTCATGGCAATGGATTTTCTGGTCCATTGCCTGATTTTTCGGGCTTGAAGAATTTGGAGAGCTTGAGTTTGAGGGACAATTCATTTACAGGGCCTGTTCCCTTGTCTTTGGTAAATCTTAATTCCTTAAAGATTGTTAATTTGACTAATAATTTGTTGCAAGGGCCAATGCCGAAGTTTAAAGAATCAGTTTCTGTGGATATGACAAACGATACCAATCGTTTTTGCTTGCCACAACCTGGTGATTGTGATTTTAGAGTGAATACTTTACTTTCTATAGCAAGATCAATGGATTATCCTAGAAAATTTTCTGAGAATTGGAAAGGGAATGATCCGTGTACCGATTGGTTTGGGATTACTTGCAACAATAGGAACATAACCATTGTTAACTTTCAGAGTATGGGGCTTACAGGTACAATTTCTCCTGATTTTGCTTCACTCAAGTCGTTGCAGAGACTGATTCTTGCTGATAATAATCTTACTGGCACTATCCCGGAGGAGCTCACCACTCTGCCTGGACTTACCAAACTAGATGTATCAAACAACCAGCTTCACGGGAAAGTGCCAGCTTTTAGAATTAACATCATTGTAAAGACAAATGGAAATCCTGACATCGGGAAGGATAAGAGTGCTTCAAGTTCTCCTCGTATGACTTCTCCAAATACACCCAATTCTGGTTCTGAAAGTGAGGGTGGTTCACAAAAGGATCAGAAGAAATCTCGAAATTGGATTGGAGTGGTTGTATTTTCTGTAATTGGGGGTATCTTTGTGCTTTGTTTGATTGGATTGGCAGCTTTCTGTCTGTACAAGAGCAAACAGAAGCGTTTTAGCAGAGTTCAGAGTCCAAATGCTATGGTAGTTCACCCTCGTCATTCTGGATCAGAAAACGATAGTGTAAAGATAACAGTTGCAGGATCGAGCATCAGTGTTGGTGCTATCAGTGAAACTCATACTGTTTCAACCAGTGAAACCGGCAACATTCAAATGGTTGAAGCATCGAACATGGTGATCTCCATTCAAGTACTGAAAAACGTTACCAACAATTTCAGTGAAGAGAATATACTAGGTCAAGGAGGCTTCGGGACAGTTTACAAAGGAGAATTGCATGATGGAACAAAGATTGCTGTAAAAAGAATGGAAGGTGGAGTGATAACCGGGAAGGGGCTAGCTGAGTTTAAATCTGAGATTGCTGTTTTGACCAAGGTCCGACATCGGCATCTTGTCGCACTTTTGGGATACTGTCTTGATGGAAACGAGAAACTTCTTGTTTATGAATACATGCCTCAAGGGACACTAAGTAGGCATCTTTTCAACTGGGCGGATGAAGGGTTACAACCATTGGAGTGGACAAAAAGATTGACCATTGCTTTAGATGTTGCTAGGGGAGTAGAATATCTCCATGGTTTGGCCCACCAAAGCTTCATACACAGGGACCTAAAGCCATCCAACATTCTTCTTGGGGATGATATGAGGGCCAAGGTTGCAGATTTTGGCCTCGTGCGCCTTGCGCCAGAAGGGAAAGGCTCCATTGAGACAAGAATTGCTGGAACATTTGGATACCTGGCACCTGAATATGCAGGTAAAATTTTCTTGAAATCAATTATGATCTTTGTTAGTTTAATTTTCTATCTTATGCTAAAGTTTAAATCTTAGACCTAACTGACATCTTCGGTATTACAATAGCTCTGTTCTGATTGAAAATAAATTAGAGAAATTGGTTCGAAATCCACACTGAAAAATACAGTATCGTTAGCATAGCAAAATGAAAACAATAGGTAGTAGTAGCCTTTTTCTATTATACTATTAGTAGACAAGGTATTTATATCATCAAATTTTTCTGGACTTCGGGATTTCTTTTGGACTTCACTAAATGTGAGAAATAATCCAAGGAAACCAGGTAAAATGATGATTTTTAGCCTGTGATACATAACCATGTTCTATTGGTAGGAAGAGCATTAATCTCTCTTAACAGTTACTTTGGCTTAACATGAAATAACATATCGTGCCTGGGTGATCTGGTTTACTTCCTGCATGTACAATTTTCTAGCCTTCATTGTTTTATACTTTTTTGACAAAAAAATTAAAAAATAATTAAAAGAGGAATGCCAGCCTAGGATAAAGACTATGCTTAAATGAGTGAGATTTTAAGCAACAAATTTCTTATTGCCTCTGTTTCTACTACTTCAACAGTGACTGGAAGAGTGACTACGAAAGTGGATGTTTTCAGTTTTGGTGTGATCTTGATGGAACTGATCACTGGTAGAAAGGCACTCGATGAGAGCCAACCTGAGGAAAGCATGCACCTTGTGACATGGTTCCGGCGAATGCATCTGAACAAGGATACATTCGGTAAAGCCATCGACCCCACAATTGACCGAAATGAGGAAACTTTAGCCAGCATCAGCACTGTTGCTGAACTGGCTGGCCATTGCTGCGCAAGGGAACCATATCAAAGGCCCGATATGGGCCATGCTGTCAACGTTCTTTCGTCTCTTGTAGAGCTTTGGAAACCATCCGATCAATGTTCCGAGGACATATATGGAATTGATCTCGATATGTCTTTGCCACAAGCACTTAAGAAGTGGCAGCAACTTGAAGGTAGCCATGCAGACTCATCATCTTCATCCTACTTACCGAGCTTGGACAATACACAGACTAGCATACCTACGCGGCCATATGGATTTGCTGAGTCATTCACATCAGCGGATGGCAGGTGAAAAAGATGGCGGCATGATCATGGCAATTATATAACTTATTTTACTTGTTCATTCGATGTGGTTCTTCCTTGCTGTGATTTAATTCTTGACGTTTCAATTTTTGTCCATTTTTTCTTGGTTTTTAGTCTTCACTATTTTGAGTAATGTAGTTGGATTTCTTAGCTTCTTGAAGATTTAGAAATGGATTGAAGGTTTCTCAATTATAAGTTTGTTTTTTGCTTGCTATATTTGCCTCAGTTGTGTACTTATATCGAAGGCAAACTAGAGTGCATCTTTCATATTGCAGTGTTGTACTTATTTGATTCTGCTAAAAAAGCCAATTAAAATTTGAAATCTTTATTCAATGTGTGTACAAATGTTTATCCAACTATTGTAGTGCACGATCATTTACTCGAATGCCTTTATTCAATTTGTGCACAAATTTTTATCAAACTATAATGGTGCAAGGTTTATATGTTCAAATATATGTGTTATGTCGTTGCATCAAAGAGCAAAGCTTACCAGGCTGATGACCTGAGTTCAAGCCTTCTTCTGGGGAAGTATTAAAATTCCTTGTCCTTTTTCAAAAAAAAAAATTACTTGTGTTGTGTCATATCAGATAGACTTGTGAATATTCGTTTTCCAACTAGCGTATGTAGCATATATTCTTGTAACGAGAAACACAAGGGTATGTCAAGGCTTGATGAAATGGTCCATGCCAGTCCATAGTGGACTGCTCTAAGGTAGGCCTCAGTGGTCCATCCGACACAAATATTATTGTCTTGTGTCCTTTATATTATCACGTTGGGTCTATTGAGCACACAAAAATAAGCATGACAAAGAGATAAGAAGAGGAATATTGGCTAAAAATAGTACTGATAGAACCGAGCTTGTTTGATTATGCCTCTTCCCCCATTTTTCAAAATTTATTGTTCTCCGAACTTATTTTTAGCTACACATTTTTTCAATAAAATAATTTTGTTGTGACATATAATTTTTCCTTACTTTGTAACAAAACATTCTCTACAAATCACTTTTCACAAAATATATATTACCGAACATGACTAAATAATCATGGGAGTGGAGTACAGTAGGATGTAGCTGTCCCTTGTACAAAGTGTTACCCATTTTCTGTGTGTGTATGTTTTTAAGCTGTCATGTCTCTTTGCTTTTATTTTTTCTTTAATTTAATGGGGTGGACCAGAAAAACACATGGGGCAAGTGTGCAAGATCCTGTTTTCTAAGCTATCTCATATAAGAGGCCAAGGTCCCCACCCATATCTTATTTCTTGGACCCTGTCATCCTGAAAAAAAAATAGCTATTTTTATATTTAAGCATAAATAATTCTAAGTTAAGCTAACCAAACATGATGTATATGTACAAAATATGTCCTTAATGATGCACCCACTTTAGCTTATTCCTTAAAGAACTAAACTTTTATTATTTTAAAAAGAGAAAGCAGATGTAGTAGTTTGATTCCAGACCATATCACACATGACACATGCAATGGAGTACTGGAGAAAAAATTATATAATTTTGTTTGTTGAGTTTGGATACAATTTAAAAAATATTTTTTGAATTTTAGTAAGCAAAATTATCTTTCAACAAAAGCATTTGGGTGCATTCAAATTTTATAAGGGAAGAACACAAACTGAAGTGGCATGACCTTTGCTTCCTGTAGAAGAACTTTTTGAGAAAGTTACCTTAATTTTTGTTTGAAATTTAATTTTTAAAAGCACTTTCTATTCCGAAAGTACTGTTAGATGAAGGTGTTATAATTTTATGAAACTTTAAACCTCAAGAAATTGAAAACCTAATCACTTAATTGCGAAGATCTTCCATATCAAATTACCAAGAGAATTATTAAAGGTGGAACATACCTTTATTCATTGAGAATAATTCTTTACCACTGGATCTTGATTCCGAATCTTAAATCTTGAAGATCAATTGCAATCTCTTCATATTTGGCTTCTTAATTTTAATCTTAAGTATTGATTCTTCTTGTTCTTGACTATGGCTTCTTGCTCAATATTCTTGATTGCTTCAATTCCTTTTTTTAGATTGTTGATTTCATGTTCTTGATTGTGGGTTTTTGAACTTCTTCTTCAATATATTTTCTCTTTGTATTCTTATATTGATGAGATGACAAAAATAATAGAATCACATATAAATTGGGGATCATAACCCTATTTATATTTCATATGTATTCGACACATCGTAAAATAAAACCCTAATGGATCCAATCTCTACACATATTTAGCCAACACTTTATTTATTAGATTACTTTAATTTTGGGCTTAATTTTAAGATAATGTTTATACACAATTAATTATATATGTCTACTCACATGATAAATTAATGGTCACGTATATCAACACAATCAAATAACATAGATCAAGTGTGTATGTGTAGCGTGGAAATTACGCATAATGTGATCCAGACATGACTATTTCCAATTGGTCCTACTTTATTCTTTAATGCGATCAAATCAAAACTTTAATCAAAATGAAATTGAACTAAATACTTTATTTCTGCATAATAACTTGAATAACTATAAATATAAGATGTGTTTGAATCAAACAACAGCCAAATACAAACTCCCACTAAACTGTCATATCATCAAAAGATGTAACACTTATATGAGAAGTATGTTCATGAAAAACTGTGGGTGGTAACTCTTTAGTAAATGGATCCGCAATCATGGAGTTTGTCCTAATATGTTTTATAGAAATGTGACCACTCTGGATTCTTTCCTTAATAACTAGAAACTTGATGTCCATAAACTTTGACATCATGGAGCTCCTTTGAAATACAAGACGCTATTGTAACAAAATAATTTAAGTTGTCTTTCCATCCCATCCAAAATGCGTAACCTAGTGACAAAATTTCATAGTTATATTTCATTATCAAAATCAGAATATCCAATGATCTCCAATTGGTCTGATTTCTTGTATGTGATCATGTAATACTTGATTATCTATAGATACCGAGTAACTTCGTTTGGTTGTTTTTCAAATATCCATCCCGGAGTTATTTAAATATCTGTCCAGTATTCCAATAATGAATGTTATATTCGGATGTGTGCAAACATATGCATACATTAGACTCCCAACTGCTGAAGCACATGAGATTTTTTGTATTTCATTTTCTTTAAGTTTATCCTTAAAAAATTAATTGAGAGTAAACTTGTCTTCCTTAGCAATAGGGGTATTACCTGATTCACATTCCTACATCCTAAATCTTTTAAAAACTTTATCGATATAGTTCTTTTGTGATAATCCAAGAATACCCCGAGAACGATCTCGATATATCTGTATCTCTAACAAAAAGAGGTGTCATTAAGATCTTTCATTTCAAAATTCTATAACAGAAATCTCTTGGTTTTGTTCAATAAGCATATATCATTGTAGGCAAACAGTATGTCATCAACATACAATACCAGAAAAATATGCGTACTCTCACTGACCTTGTGATATACACAATCATCAATTGAATTCATCTCAAAATCAAACGAGATAATTATTTGATGAAAGTTGTGATACCATTGACGAGAAGTCTGTTTAAGCCCATAGATGAATTTCTTTAATTTGTAAATTATCAGATGTAGCTCAAGATCAAAATGTGTCACAATTGTCATAATAGTCCTAAAAGAGTCTTTCATAGAAATCGAAGAAAAAGTCTCTTTAAAATCAATGTCTTTTAAATAAAATCATTTTCAACAAGACGAGCCTTATATCTCTCCATGTCACCCTTCGAATCCCTCTTGATTTTAAATATTCATTTTCAACCAATGAGATTCGTACCTTCGGGCAATGGGATGAGTTCCCAAATGTCATTGTCTTTCATGGATTTTATCTCTTTATTCATGGTATCAATTTACTTTTGAGAATGGTTCATTCACGGTTTTATGAAAGTTGATTGATCAGATCTTCTTCCATCAATCTGTGTCATCCTTATTTTCTTAAAGAAACGCTATAAAATCATCTGACATTGTCTTTCTCCTTTCTATAGTGAATTTTCATAATGGTATTTATTCTTGAGGTTGCTGAGTTTTTTTTTTTAACAAGCTCTTGATTGTGTATTGGAAATTTTGTAATATTGTCTTGATCCGAAATTACTTGTTGAAAAAGATCTAGACCAAGAATTTGTCCATAATCCTGATCATTGTCAATTGCAACAAAAGATATATATACATATTATTCTTTAAAGACAAAATCCTTAACCTTGAAACCTTATCTCTCCTGCAAACTCCACATTTTCAAAGAATCGAACTTTTTCATTTTCGAAAAATGACTTGATAGTTGGATATTTAAAATTTTGTAACTCTTTAACAGTTGCTTTATTTAAAACTTTATTGAAATTTAAGTTGGAGTCTTTAGTGCTTATTCATAGAGAGATTCTAGCAAGGTGTGACTAATCATACTCTTTATTATGTCCTTAAATACTTTGTTTCGTCTCTCATTAACACCATTCATGCTAAGGGACCTGGCATAGTGTAATGTGGGACGATTTCACATTCTTCTAGAAATTTAGCAAAAGACCCTAGATATTGTTCTCGTGGTCTATAATATCTGTCATAGTAATCACCACCATGGCCAAATTTGATATGTTATATTCTTTTATTGAATTGATTTCCAACCTCAGCCTTATAAGCCTTAAACATGTGGAGCTAGACCCCTCTGAGAAATCAGAGTCCTTTTTGATGAATTAGTACATCTCTATGACTTTGATAGAGAGAATGTGGATTCAATCCGAGTCGAGACAAAACGTGATTGAGATTTCTTATGAATGAGATACGGTAGCAGTAAACGAGAACAATTGCCTATGAAAGTAATAATTAATTGTTGACCATTCCAAGAAATTGAAGGAAATGGCCCACATATATCCATATGAATTAGTTATAAGATGTTCAAAGTTCTACTGGTACCTAATCTCCTTATATTTGTTTATTTTCCCCTTAATACAATTAATAAGAACACTTAAGTCTGAAAAATTAAAGGAATCAAGAATTCATTCTGAT